AATGAGATCAATCAACGTAACTAATAAAAATGAGACAAAAAAAACAGTAAACTATAATAATAAAGTAATAGTTAACAAGAATGTTATTTGTAATATAATTTTTGTGCATATTTCTTAATGGAAACAATCATCACAAATGTCTGGATTCGAAGTACACGTCTCATGTAGCCACCGTTTACAGCGAATGCATTGAATCGAATTAACTTTTGGACCCTTCTTATCGTAGTAAGAACAATTGCACTTTCCACATATATTTTCAAGATAATCATCGCTGTCATCATCATCATCTAGTTCTACAACAAGTGTCTCTCCTGAATCATCGCTACTGGTGATGGAATGAGATCGTTTCCTCTTGTAACTTTTGTTCTTGGCCTTGGGTAGTACTTACTATACGTACTTGCGGTAGTACTATAGGTACTTGCGGTGGCCGGTGGGTAGTGGGGTAAATTGTACCAGTACAATTTAACCAACTGCAAGTGGTACGATTAAACCAACTAAGGCATTTCTAAAACAAAAGCAAATATCCGGCATAAACTCAAAACTTAGACACGCAACAAAAACCCCCAATAATCTAGTATACAATTGTGGAATAAAAAAAAAAACTGAATAACTATAGCTTACCTTGATTACGAGTTATCTCCTTACGAATGTACGACAATATTTATATTAATTCCTACAAAAAATGTTTTTCTTTTATTACGTGCACAGTTGTTAACTCACGTCGATTTAAACTAGTGGGTGAAAAGGGATGGTACAGGGCCACGATTTGGCGTTGTCAATGTAGAAAAAAATATTCATTAAATGGGAAATTTAGAAGTGGTACGATTTAAATGCTAGTACGATATAACCAACTCTCCCCTATTTTATAATTTTTGTAATGTATTTATTTTTATTTAGACCCAATTTGACACCCATGTTTTGTATATAACGATATTAAAGCAATATTTTAATAAAACATATTTTGCGCTCCAGTAAAATGCATTTAATACTTTTTTAAACTTTCCATTTTATTGCAATAACAGGTTACTAAATAAGCTCTCTATCAATCTATGAAGCTTAGTTTTTGTTAAATAGTAAATGTTTAAGATGCTAAAAAAGTTAATGTGCTATCAGTACTTCTCTCACAATTTTCTATCAAAACACGATATAGAAAGTTTTTGACATTTCTAATTCAATAACCATCACTAATAGGTATTACAATGCACGAAGATTTATGAATAAAATATGTACTGTTGACGCTCCATATGTAGTGTGACGAGATTAAATTAGCCCTTCAAGCTTATCTCGTGGTTTGAATCACGAAACAGAATTTTAAAACAATACCAATTTGCTAAAAACGGTAGTGTTAACTTATAGGATGGAGACAAAAAAGAAAGGAAATATCGTCTAGGGGTTGGGAAAATTGATGTTATATAATCCTTATAATAATCATCCGCAAAGTTGTTTATTGTCTTGAATCTAGAAAAAAAAACCCTTTAAAGAATAGCCGAATTAGATATTAGATATAGAAAAGCAATATACACTTAAAAGCTTTAATTGTATTACATTTTAAATTTCTTACAAGAACACATTACTTCAAAGACAATTGAAATTCAAAGTGCCTTATTTTTCTATAAAGTTATGTGAATATACAGGCCTCATGAAGTCCTACGTATAAAATACAAATTTGGTAAAATAGCTTAAAAAGTCCCAAACTCCCAAACTCAAAATCCACAAAACAGAATTATATATCAGACATCCGTGGAAGAGAATGTTTTTCAATGAAACCAAACGTCGAATAATTATTTCGCATCCAAGAATTCACTTACATAAGATTTAGTTCTTAAAATATAGGAATTCCAAAGAAATTTAACATGATGCTTATATGATGATATTACGAATAAAACAAGACTCATTTAATCTATTTTTTCATCACTGATTCACTGAAATCTAAAACCATTTATATATTATATGAAAACTTGTATTTTTAATATTTATAGACACCATATAGAGTATTTACTTTAATACAACACATGTAAATTATTATTCACTGCATCCCTACTAATATTATAAATGCGAAAGTAACTCTGTTTGTCTGTCGGTCTGTTACGCTTTCACGCCCAAATCACTGAACTGATTTTAATAAAATTTGGTACAGAGATAGAGTTGACCTTGAGAAAGAACATAGAATAGTTTTTATCCCAGACTTTTGAAAGGTTCTCTTGGAAACGGGATATAACCAAACTCCACGCGGGCGAAGCTGCGGCCGGAAAGCTAGTAATAAATAAATAATATATATAATTGAGTCAAAACAAAAGAGTAAAAGATTGCAGTTAATTGCTGTTACTTGTTAAGACGTTTTTGCATTTGTAACCAAAACATTGTATTTCTTTTAATTTTCTCAAATAGCCGTACATTATTTAATATTATTTTCTCACAAACACATCTAACCAACAATAACCTACACAAATGATTCTTAAAAACTGTTCATGGACGATGAAAAATATGAAAGCGACGCTCATAAAAACTACGGTAGTTTTAATTAGGTATACCTACCTACATTTTATACAAATACTTTTAAACACTTTTAAACACAAATCGATAATGTTTAAAAGATAACCACTTGCAATGGAATCTTCACTTCATGGAGCAAGAAGTAATTTGGCGAAATATGTAGGTATATATAGATATATAATATTTTATACTCTAAGGTTTGGACATTATCAAGAATTTAAAAAGAGAAATAAAATCTCTTTAGAAAGAAATGAAGTATGTTTTAATGTATTTATTTACATTATAATAAAATAATGTTATGTTATCTTTTTTAATGGTTAAATTTGACATTTCATCTGTATGAAACTATATTTTAATACAGATAAAATAATAACGAATTTCATATATACGCACAGCAATTTTATTGTATAAAGAATGCAATAAATCCTCTTTGTTCACAATAGAAGTAACAATTATCTATAAGTCATACTTACAGTACGGTTGAGCTTTATGTCATAATATCAGTTAATAGAATCAAACTGAAAGTAAAATTTTAAGTTTAACCTTTACTTTGTACGGTCTACGTGTGATCTCATATCGAAGTCGCGATAGGACGCCGCGCCGTCAAAACACTAGTCAGGATAGTGAAACAATGTACCCCGCTGTCACCTTCCGCATATATCATTTGTATTCAGAAAGCGATTGAGATGTCACTATCAAACATCCGAAACATACGAGCTGGTATTATCACCTGATAACTTTATCAGGACTTAAAATTATACAGGTTAATGACTTAAAGTAACGGTTGTTTGAAATAACTTTGAACTATAGTTAACTTTGTCAATTGTATGTAGTAAAATAGACTATCTAGTTTAGTTTGACTCGGAACGTTTTAAAATTTTTTTGCAGCTACAACATATACGGTGAATATAAAACACGGGACTTTTAATAATTTGCCAATTCTAATAAATAAAGATTTCAGTCTTTACAGAAAGGGGACCGCTCTAAAAACGACCGCCTGGGTAGAATACATCGGAATACAAACTCTATTGTTTTATCATACATTCTTTTTTGCACCTCAAACGAATATATTTAATATATTTGCAATTTTAGTTGACAGGATTTATCATGTGAGTTTTTGCGTAACGCTGCTTGTCTTTCAATCGGTCCGTTTCTTTGTCCGATCCCTGTGATAAACGTCCGATTATCCAACAATCGGTCCGGGGTCGCCGACGTGGACCGGCAAAAATTAAACTACTTCAGACATTTATAATTTAACAGCAAGATACACTGATACACCATTATTGATTTAATTATCTCAGCCGAATTATTTTTATCTTTATAAATATTTAAAAGATATTTATCTGTTGTAATATATTTATTTATTTAGAGTTTTATAAATATGGTTTGTATTGTTTAAAGTAGAAAAACGTTGTAAAATGTATAGTTATATAGAATTTGTTTGATGTCTTATATTAATAAAAAATAAGACAATTACTTTACTATATTTGTATTTTCGTATATCAATTAATATAACATATTTTTATATGATACAAGTGAGATGAAAAGATGTGTTTAAATTAATGAATTTCGTATATCAATTAATACCTATAACATATTTTTATATGATACAAGTAAAATGAAAAAATGTGTTTATATTAATGAAGATTTTTGGAAAAAATTTATGGTTTTTAAAGAGTTATAATATTTTGTTATAACAACACAACGATGCATGTAGTTTAGAAAATCATAGCTGTAGGTATGAGCGTCACGAAGGGTGTATTTTTCCTTCACATGGGTGAGTAAACAAAAAGTATAATAGTGAGGGTTGTGTGGGGCGGGGCCAGGTGTCAGTCGCAGAGATCTTATCTAGATGGGGACCGCCGCCGACGGGCCTGATTAGGCCGGCGGGGCCTACGAGACCGACTCGGCCGACGGGGTCGACGGGGCCGACAAGGCCCCTTATACATATTAGGCCCGACAAGCCCGCGATGTTTATTACGATAGCACTCATTGCATTCCCGTAACTAATTGTTAATCTCTTGATTAATCTGTTTAATAGCGACCAATAAAGTAATTACTGATTGAAATATTGTTAAGTTAAGCTACCGATTATTGTTGTTCTTATATTGTAACATAAATATATTTTATTCCTTTAGATTAATTCAATTTATTAGTTTATAAGTAACTATAGTATAAAAGAAATAAATTATCACGATAATATAAAACACGTCTAGGAAGAAATTCATATTAGGTATGTAAAATATTTATATGTATGTATATTCTTCTAATTAATCGCCATTATAATATAGAGAGTAAAAATAATTAGCTTTAATTTTGAATGAAATATAACTTCGCTATTCACGATTAATTAAGGCACTCGTTTTAATAAATCAATTTATTAAAATATATAATAAGTCATTATAATGAACAGAAAAATATAAAATCCATGGTATTTCAGTGCTAATTACTCACCTTCGTGGCGACTGTGAAACGAATATGTTAACATAATTGTGATTTCTACCGCAATGTTCTTGATATGGAGTGTTATGCGCAGGAGTTGGATTTATAGTATGAAAACGCTCCTACCGCAGTACAAGCAAGGGGTCAGTAAATCTCTGAGTACTGGATCGGCCAATCCCTGTTCAGGAACTATTAATCATCGCCTCAAACGCATCGGCACAGTCCAACTTTATTTCCACGTCTCGCTCGCACTCCAAGCCCGAGTGGATCCCAGCATCATTCATCATACGATCCTCTCGCTCGTTCAATGATAAATTCAATTCTCTTCTTGTATATGATTGTTCTTTCTTTTTGTTGTGATGTTTTATTGTGGTGCCGTCACGGAGTTTGGTTTTTTGATCGGATTTCTATCGGAATGATCGCGAGAAATGGATTTTCAATCCATTTTATGTGCCAGTGATTAATCTTTTTATTTTAATGAAGAAATATTACATTTATACCTATATTCTGTATTTAGAACGCACGCTTTGTTATAAAAAATTTAGCGAATTATTGATGTTTTATTGATTATTTATTGGTTTTTTTATTAATTTAAAACTTGCTTTGAATTGAAATATGTTTTTAATTAATCTTTGCTATTTACATGGCCGTAGAAAATACAATCAACAGATCTCTTAAAGTAACTTAAAATACATTGTTAACATTCAGTCGTTTAGTTATACACAATACAATTCATCTATCTAGTTGTATGGAGATTGTGAAAAAATATTTTAAATCGTAATTTGTCAATATAAAATTGTATATAGAGATATAATTCTGAAATACATAGCACGATTTGTTAGCAACGACAAAGATATTTTTACAATAAATCAATCCCTTATTTCTATTATCACTGGGTATTCCTTAAAATATCTTTACACGTATTAAACTAAATGTTTAAAACTATTAATATACAATAACTGTACAAACTATAAATCGTACTATATTGGACTTCCTTACTTTGGCCATAAACTGATTTCAACTTAAAAATATTCATCCACTAGGTATATCGATGAAAAACACAGGAAGTGAAATCTATTGATTGAAAAATATACAAATACAAAATAACTTTGTAAACTAAACAAAAGAAATTACAGAGCAGTATATTAGGATAGCTATTTAATTTTAAAATAAGCAATGCTTACTGACAGTGAAGCTTATAAAAACTTACTATAAAGGTACTAATAAATCATTGTCAATAGAACGGTGGACAAAATTCCATACAGCAGTATATCTTACGTTTCAGTACACAAAAGTTTCTGCAAACAATACTAGGAAGAAATACCATGACAATTATAATAAGACACTTCTTCACACCAAATGTGTTTACATAAAAATACAGCACAGTTGTAAATTATTCGACAAGCAGCGGTCAATGTTTACAACTCTGTTGTTTTAATTGAAAAGCGGATCCCTCGCTTTTGTTACATATGAATATATTGTTTTTATTATTATTATTACATTCAGTATCATTTAATAAATATGAAACATCGGACGGCTATAAATCTGGCATACTGTTATGTTTATATCCTTCGTATAGTACTAACAACTAATTTGTTTTTAAGCGTAACGTATCCTCATAAGCAATATCACAGCGCTTTAGCGAACTTTTCATTCCACGTTTGTAATAAAAAATATATATTTTTCTCAATAGTTTTAAGCTGTAAGCTTCAGCGATGTGGACAATTTGATGATCGTCGAATGAAGAGTTCCCTAAGCGCGGTGTGGTCAATAGGCGGCCGCGGCGCCCGAGTGATGCATCAAATGGTGATGGTGGTAGGACTCCTGTGACGGGCACCACCACTCCGGCACCCCATGCGGTACTGACGGCGCCGGCTGCTGGAACTGACTCCAATGTCCTCCGAAGCCGAGTTTATTCTCCATCATGCCGTTCCCGCCGATGTTCGTTAGATGAGTTTGGTTATGATGAGGTGGAGGCGGTCGCTCGTAGGATTTCTGATCGTGAGGGTTAAGGTACTTATCGTTTAGACTCTCCAGCTTGTCTGTTATAGTAGGGTGATGCTGGGAGGGGTGATGTTGAGGTACTGGCGGTGGGGGAGGTATGGATGTAGGAGGACTCGCTGCTCCCGCGGTGACGCTGACGCTGCCCGCGGAAGAAGAATCATCTCCGTCACTATCATACCGTGGGGATGCGTCACCAGCAGCGCCGTGCACCTTCATATGCTTCCGAAGTGATGACGGGTGGGTATAAGACTTGTCGCATCCGTGAACCCGACAGTTGTAAGGTTTGTCGGATGTGTGAACGTGGGAGTGTTTCTTTCTATCCGACGAGTTCGCGAACCGACGGTCACAGCCAGCGTATTCACATTTAAATGGTTTCTCACCTGTAAAGAAGAAAAACATATAATTATATACATAATGTAAGTATATGAATTACATTAAATACAAAAAATCTGCGCTAAATATAATTTAATTCTCATTAATATAAAGTATTAAACATATATTAGTAGCCGTTTAAGTGAAATAAACGATATTAAACACATAAAGTATGGCATCTAGCATGCATTAATCCATCACAATTTATCTGAAGCAACGTCTTCGGGATTTAAAACCTACATTTCGTTACTACCAGTTTGAATAAAAACATCGATGGCAGCGAATGCGAATGCCCAATCACGCCATAAATAAGCAGATTTACTCGTTGTTTATAGTTTACGAAGATAAATAAATATTCATAACAATTGCATGGGATACTTAACACGGCCATAAATCATATTTATAAGCAGTCTGTGTCACACAGTCTCAACAGAGGTTGCGTATAAGCTTCATTCTGAACTCTAAGGTCCCCTCTCAAGACATATTTTATGCTACCGCTACTTAAATCTCTCTTTTCGGCAATGTAACTCCGAAATTAATCTATTAAGTGATGATTATGGTCACCTATGTCATAGGTCTTGGTAAATAAATTCACTTAGTATTCACTCAAAATTACTTATACGTATTCTTCCATATTGAACTCATGTTATTATGTACCTAACTGGTATATAAGATTTAAAAAATTGTTACAATTCTCTTAAATGAAACTAATATTTTCGGATTACTACGCTTTTTTTATAATTTTTAAAAACTAAGTATTCCCGAATTTTCGATAACTATACAACAACCGTGATCACGGGCCGACGAGTTGAGAATGTCACATTACATACATACACTCTTTCGAACTTTCGTGAAAGTCTTAGATCTCTTTTATAATTCTCTTAACATTAGGAAATTGTTACTAAGTCACTTGTATTGGATATGTAGGTATATAAATTAGTGTGCAGAAACTTTCACGTTCTATTTCTTCTTCTTCTACCTGGCAATTTACCAGCTTTAGTCAGGGTCTGCCTTACATGTTGTGAATAGTTTTGGCTAATTGTTTTTACGACCGGCCGCCTGCCTGACATCAACCCTCTTGCGGAATGCATTAATCAGTGAACTCTAAATACTCTATGAAAGTACATATGTATGACTCGGAAAAATCACATTGGTACTTGCCAGGATCGAAACTGTGCCCTCATGCATGAGAGGCGGGCCTTTTAACCACTAGGCCACCACTGATTTGACGACTTCACGTTCTATTTCGTAGACTTCAAATTCAAAATACATGTCGATTTAGATTAAAAATTATATTTGACCAAAGTTAGCAACATTATATTACAACGAGATATCTTACCGCGGAATCTAACTACCGACCAGTGGATTGTAAGTTTCTTCCAAAAATTATTTATTATAGAAATCTCTATCGTCTTTTATTACAATGAATTCCTCACAAATTCAGTCGATCGTATGTAGTGGGAACTATTCAATGAAATCATAAGTAGGCCGGGCCATAGTATGTCCTACACTACAACAATATACTTTTCTTTGTCATGTTTACAAATAAACCTCTCCGGTTGTAATCCCCCTTATTGTGTTTGAAATTTGAAGATACTTGAGTATCCACAGATGCTAATCTCAAGTGTCTGTTAACACGGCTATAATAGAGCTTTTTTAGAGATTCCTCACCGCAAGTTTGCTACAGTGTCGATATACTGAATGAAAGCATCAAATTCTTTTTTCATGACATGAACGCCGATACTTCCTTTATTTGATCATTCATTGCGGCCCAAATAGCTATTATAATGCTTTGTCATTCAGGCCCATAAAGGTTTAGTATGTGTAATCCTTGTGTATAACATGTTTAAAAATGAAAACACACCATAAAGATTATACCCAAAATAAAAAATAAATAAAATGCCTGGTCTCGTTTAGAGTTGAACAATAAAATGTCTTGGTCCGAGCACTAATGAGCCTAATACGAGATAAAGGAGCCCAAAACATGTGTCACCCGTCTAATTACTAATCGAGCGTCTCATCTGAGGAGAAGTCACAAAAAAGGATCGACGACAAACTCTATTAGCTTGTGATGTGTTATCTCTGCGCACGCGCCGGTGACGCGTGTACTATCCTGGGTGAGGTAGCTATATATTCGCACCGTAAATTAATTGTCACTAATTATGGCTGACGTCACAAATACATCATGAATAACTACGCCGAAAACAATGTAATTACATTATATATATTATTATACTAAGGAATAATATAAATAGAGGATTACTTCGACAAAAATTAAAACAGAAACAATCTCTTTGAAGGCTAACATTGTAAAAATTATAAAGTTCATGTTAGAATAATATGAGTGTATATGAAGGAGACGCCACATATATTAAAGGTTACAATAAAAGCAGAAATAAAAACAACAAGCCACGGGAATGCACATCGTGAATCCGTTGCATGCCACGCCGGGACACCGGCTAGGGTCAGATGATTATCTTAAACGGTGTATCACCAGCAAGAGACACTTTTTTGTAACATTATTATCGACTCGGAAATTTTATCTCAAAATTATTTCAAGCGAAGACGTTAACATCTACCAATTAATTTATTACGAGCGACCATTATATTTGTATTCCTGGTAGCTATAAAATTTGTTATTAATAAATAAATACATTAAACACACCAGTGACCAGTCGCCAAATGGCCTAAATAGTATTGTATTACAGATAGCTTAAGTGCGTTCTGAAGACATGATTTTTTAGAAATAGCATTAGTTATCTGTAATTTGAAACTCGGCTTTTGCACTTAAATAGTTCAAATGTCATTAGGTGTGTTTTGTATAACAACAAAAGTGATTTGGATATCGTATAACGTTTAATGTCTTCGGAGGTTAAGTTTTATTTATAACATTTAATTAAATTTCTATTTAAACACGTAAACTGTATTATATTTCTATATATATTAATCAAAATCGTTTTGAAATCATAAATATATATTTTCATCTAATAACTATTATGTCCGATGCTTTTTTTTATGTACGACATATTAAAATTTAAGCGCAATAGTCATTGTTTAATGGTTTAATAGCTATTACAGGACGGGGCATATCCGAATTAATTCAATCTCCAATAGACAGCTAGCTAATGAGTGGCCGATGACTGGCGCTTTCTTTACACGACCGTTCATGTTAAGACTGGCCTACAAAAGTAATCGCTACATTCAATAAAATCAAACTTTTATATCACTTGATAGTTAACCGAGATACAACAATAATAACCTTTATATATAATAAAATTGAATTATCTTCACGTTTCTGACATTATCGTCTACTGATGCTTTATCTAAAATAAGTGTTTATATGTATACTTGTCACTGAACTAAGCATAACATTCATCTTAACGAGTACGCGTTTGTCAATACTGATTGACGATTCGAAATAAATTCTCCGAAAAATATAGTTTTTATATCGATGTATTTAAAAAAGAATTTCGTACTCAAGATGATTTATGATCTCCCTTTATCCGAAACGTATTTCGAATTAGAAAGATATATTAATATCTTCATTTTTTCAACTCAAAGAATACCCTGTCCCGGGGCACAAAAAGAATATTGTACCGGGCGGCGCATTCGGCGCCCAACGACCGTGTGACAAGGTGCTTTATGCGGACGGCTATGAGCAAACCGAATAATGTTCCAATACCCGATAAATATCTGCCAACTCATACAAAAGCATCCCAATAAAAATATAATAGTAAATGTAGCGACAGAGCACTAAAACTGCGCTGTCATATCACAGATTATAAATACTGACTAAAAATAAAATAAAAACTCATGTGATCAAATTACTTACAATAAATAAATAATTCTTTATTTTAATTACAAAAAAAATAATTATTATTCAAATTTGATTCTTTTTATCTAATCCAAAGGTAAGTTATTAATACATTTATTTCTTTTCATACAATGACGTACCATCACATATGGTTTAACAATAAAGTAAATTAAAAAGCACCAGCTATTGTTCTCGATGGAACTGTGAAAACATCCATCTTTAACCGATAACCATCTGCTGAGAATGCGCCATAAGCACTACTATCAGGGAATAAAGAGGAAAATTATATCCTCCTCGCTGAAGAAAGGAAAAGAAAGCATAATTTTTGTGATCTCTCGTCACTTTAAACACGATTTTTGTAACAAAACAATAAAGAATCATCCCTAATTTTTCGCTAATTCTTCCCTAAAATGCAAAATCTGTTGTGTTACATATGGGACTGGTTTCCCAGAGTTGAGTTAGTTTACGCGCGGTACACCTGTGTTTAACAGAATAAGTATAAAACGATCAAGCGGGTCCGCTCGTCAATCCGTCCGTCAACCGTTTTGACAGCCCTAACCGGCATCATCGCTGGGATCTGAACGATAAAAAATAACAAGAAATACATCATAAACAACATTTTATTCAAGGAATTACTTCGAGATTATAATTCAACGTTTTTGAAAGCATTAGACGTAGTAATGGCTTTGTGTTTACGTATTCAAATCGATATCTATCTAAGACGGAATTTAAGTAAATAATGCGAAAAAATATAACACAGATTTTACTTAGCAATGGTTCAAAATTAAATATGTTCCAAACGATTGGTGTAACATCAAACCAATAAATTAAATGAATTATGTATTGGGTTTACGGCTTGTCCACTCAACACCCACGCTGAATCGGGTTTCAGCCCCCGGGCGCATTTTTGGGACAAACCAATATTTCTAACGAATATTAATAGCTGGTTTTGTTCTTATTTTCTTATCTGTCCGTGCGCTACGGTGTACGGACCCGCATTCTCAGAGTGTTTGTGATTCCAGTGATTTTAAAACATGAACAGTGCGAGCGTACATCTTCAACATTTAAACTGACACTCAAGGCTCCATCATAAATACCTTTATACGAAATTTATCTGAAAACCTTTTAAACTATATGCTTTTAGGTTCAGAATCGCTACTCATAATCGCAATGTTATTTTTATATTGAATTTCG